AATGATTTCATTAAAAGCTAATTCAGGAGCATTATCAGTTCTTATAGCTTTAACATCTGCATTATATTGAGTTTTAACATGCTGTAAAAACGCTTGAAAATACTTTAAAACTTCACTTTTATTTCTTAGCATATAGATCCACGTTACACGGGTGTGATCATCAACAACAGTAAGAAAATACTTATAGCCTTCTACAGATTCAACAGAAAAAGGACCCCATCAAGATGAACAAGTTCAAAAGCGTTTTTAGATCTATTATTATGTGACTCAAAAGATAACCTTTTTTGTTTAGCTAATGGACAAATAGGACAGTGAGACTCTAAAATGACACTAGTTTTAGGCAAAGACAAAGTACCAGATAACACTTTTAACTTGTCAGAGGATGGGTGTCCAAGGCGTTGGTGCCAAAGATGTCCATCAACCGCCAAGGATCCAGAGAAATGAGACGCAGGAGATGGAGATGGAGAATCAAGCTTTAAAATGTAAAGATTATGCAGTAAGAATCCTCTACCAAGCATCAAGCCCTGAATAGACTCCTGGATAAAACAAAATTCAGGAAAGAAATGAGTTGATGCATTAGAATGTTTGAGAAGAGTACTGACAGAAATAAGGTTGAATTTGAATGATGGAACATGCAAGACATCATGTAAAACAAGCATATGTGATAGATGAATAGTGCCAGAGTGTGTGATAGGAACTCTAGCAGCATTTGGCAAAGAAACTGTAACATCAGAGACAGTAACAGTTTCATTAAAAAGTGTCAAGTCAGAGCAGACGTGACTGGTAGCTCTAGTATCAATTATCCAACTACCCTGTGGAAGATTAGAATAAAGGGTAGACAAACACTGATGTTGAAATGTGAGTTTATTGTTTTCAAATCTTAAAGAAGTGGATGGGAAGGGGTCATTACCAGAGAAAGAGACATTACCAGAACTTGATTGAGGATCCATAGCACCATTCTCTGTAATAGACGCAATTAATGGGGAAGGGACTTGATTCTCTGAAACTTGAGCATGAGTATTGAATTGTTGTATTAGTGATTGCATCTGTTCTTGATTCATCTGAGTAACATCCATATTTGCTGCATTCATTACAGATGGTACACAAGAAGAAGAACTAGATGAACCAGACACCACATTGGCAATAGCATGTGACTGAGGTCTGGTATTAGAGAACTGCGCTCTAGGCTGAAATGAGTTGAAAGACTGCATTTGTGGTCTTGATCCAAATTGAGACTGAGACTGAGACTGATATCCACCAGAACTTTTAAATCCTGGAATGTAACCTGGTGGATATCCATGTTTCTTGAAGCATTTCTGAATAACATGGCCAGTCTGACCACAATATGTACACACCGGTCTTGGAGCCCTTGGTCTGAAACCAGTCTGCATTGCAGCATAGACACTGTTATCAAGAGGACCCTGATAAACATTTGAGTTCTGATTCTGATTCTGACCAGTGTATACACTTCCATCATAACTTGGATAGTAGAATTGATTCTGAGTCACTGGAGATTCACCACCAATCATAGACTGACTGTGTGAAGCAGTATGAAAAACCACATTATCATTCTTATGCACTGGCTTGATATTCTTCTGACGTTCATCTTGAGTTACCATATTGAAAGCATCCTCAATAGTTGGAATAGGCTTTAACATCAATATATGTCTTCTTGTAGCCTCATAAGAATCATTTAAACCCATCAAAAACTTAGTTACCCTGCTTCTTTGTTGCAACTTTTCGCAAAGAGCAGCTGCATTACATTCACACTTACCACAAGTGCATAAAGGAATCTCAACATAATTTCTATATTCTTCCCATAGAGTAACCAACTCTGTATAATAAGCACTGACATCTAAAGCACCTTGTTGTATCACACTTAAGCGTTGCTCAATCTCATACACACGAGGGGCATCATCTTGTTTAAATCTTGATATTAGATTCTGCCATATGCCTTCAGCAGTAGATATGAACAATAAACTTTGACCAATTTTCTTTGAAACAGAGTTCATAAGCCATGTGGCTACCATATCATTGCAACGAGACCATGAATCATAATCACTATCATTTTCAGAAGGTTTGAGTATCGTACCATCGATGAATCCCAATTTGTTTCGAACATTAAGCGCCATACGTACTGATCGACGCCAAGAGTGAAAATCAGCACCCGTCGTAAGCCGATCTAAAACCAGAACCAACCCCGCATGATCGGAGGTATGAAGGAAGTAAGGATTAGCATATCGATCTATCAATTGATCATTCGCCATGATGTAACCAAGATTCTGAGTAAAATATAGAACAAGATCAATCGGATTCGATGTAATCCGATGCAAGAAACGAAGATATGAAAAAGAATCAAAGCGCGGAAGTAAGAATCTCCGGAAAAGTGAATTAGATGATCGCGAGAAAGAAAACGATGTGTTGATTATGTGATATACACATCGAGCTGAAAATGGAAGGAGATGATCGATGTGAACATAAGATGGATTGAAGAAGATGAAGATTAGACGATGAAGAAGATGATGAAAAAGATGGAAGATGATGGGAAATTTTCCAGTTATTCACTTTCCGGGAAAATCAACGAGAAAATCAATGAGAAAATGTTTAGTTGCTCTGATACCATATTAACACTTAAGAATGAAGTGTAGAATTCTCATTAATTGTAAAGTTCAGTACATCAGAGTATTTATATGTACAACAGAGTAAAGAATAGATTTAAGCTAAAGGAAACTTAATATCTATTTTGACTATACTCTATATATCTTAATAAATTGCAGATCATGCAGATCAAGCAGTTCAAATATGAGTTCTAATGGTGAAAGTTGTTCAACATGTGCAGATCAAATTATTAAATAATAAATAGTACACAATATAACTAAAAATTTATTAAGAACTACATATTGTTATAAACTTTACTAAAAAGGGGTTTTTGCAAAAATGGGAAAACGGCCATTTTCAACCCCAACTATTTGGGGGCGGGTTTTTCCAACCCAAACTAAGGCCCCCCGTCAATTTCTACCCAAACTCAAAACTAATTCAAATTCAAAACCTAAACTAATGAAATTTAGCCGATTTCAACACGACAGAAGACGGTGTTAGTTCGGGATTTAACGGCTGCTGAGTCAGCGATATCATGGCATTGACGTGGCGGAAAAGCGGCCATTTTCAACCCCAACTATTTGGGGGTGGGTTTTTCCAACCCAAACTATTTGGGGGCAGGAAAAAATAAAACGTCGTCGTTTTCACTGACGTGGCTTCTGGTCAATGAAAACGACGACGTTTTATTTTTTTCCCCTTCAAACAACGAAACGACGTCGTTTTAATTTTGGGGAAAAATTAAAATTAGGGTTCTTCATTTTCTCTCGAAACAGAAAAATGTTCGTCGATTTTATGAATTCACAGGCACTGTAAACGGAATCTGAAAGAAATGTAGCAATAGCAAGAAAAAGCAAAATTTGTTCCTGAATAGTTTGGTCTAGCAATTGTGTTCTGTTGGTGTCGGATCCCGCACCAATAGTCCGGGATGAACCAAAGATTGCCATGTAATCAAGGTAACGGCCCACGAAGGATAAAGCCCATTAGACCCGTGAGTCGGAGGAACAGTCGAAGTGGTTATCACCACAAGGAGAGTCCGAAGTGACTGCACCTCGACATAAGTCCGGAGTCGAAGTCACAGTTAAAGATTTTGTCTTTCTTCCTGCAGTGGAATCATTGTACAGACATTCTATCTGGAAACTTGTCTGAAATCAATTGTGTTTATAGTCTCGTGACCTGAATCATCATCACTACAATTCACAAAAATTTCAATCCGCATAACAATTCATGAACTCTAAAGCTATGGTACCACACTGCCATTCATTAAAATTTCAACTCGACACAAATGGAGACAATACCATATTGTTTTAGAAATCATACAACCCCAAGATCCATCACATGGTAAGTAATACACAGTCGGACTATCGAATGATAGATCACCTTCGATATATAAATAGTTTTTCTCTCACGACCCAACTACGTACAAGATTACATGAATATAGCAGCGGCTTGGGTTTTGAATTTAAATTAGTTTTGAGTTTGGGTAGAAATTGACGGGGGGTCTTAGTTTGGGTTGGAAAAACCCGCCCCCAAATAGTTGGAGTTGAAAATGGCCGTTTTTCCGCCACGTCAATGCCACGATATCGCTGACTCAGCAGCCATTAAATCTCGAGCTAACACTGTCTTCTGTCGTGTTGAAATCGGCTAATTTTCATTAGTTTAGGTTTTGAATTTGAATTAGTTTTGAGTTTGGGTAGAAATTGACGGGGGGTCTTAGTTTGGGTTGGAAAAACCCGCCCCCAAATAGTTGGGGTTGAAAATGGCCGTTTTCCCTTGCAAAAATGCCCCTTTTTCAATGCCACTTTTCAAAAATGCCCATTCTTTATAACTTTATAAAAAATGATCTTAAAAATATAAGATTTACCCAAATATGTATGTAACATTATTAAAACATACACAAACTACATTTTTATGTATCTAAAATCTTATAAATACTTTATAAATACTTTATAAATACCTTATAAATGCATTTTAAATACCTTTAAAAAGCTTTAAAATATCTTGTAAAACCTTTGAAAAACCTTAAAAATCCTTTAAAATAACTTGTAAAACCTTTAAAAACACTTTATAAAACCTTATAAATACTTGGATCGAGTCTTCAAGTAGTAGTTACAATCCATAAGTACCTTATAAACCTAATAAAACTTTATAAAAATTTCAGATTTAAAAAGGGGCATTTTTGAAAATGGACATCTAAAAGGGGCATTTTTGAAAAGGGGCACACCAAAAGGAGTATTTTTAACAATTTCCCTATTAAGGATACATATATAAAATACAGTTTTATTTTTAGTTTATTTTTTATTTTATTTTATATAATGTTATAATATATTATGCTATGTATAAATAAAATCATATAAAACTAAAATATATTAATCTATTAAATAATTTTAAATATTAAACATAAAATATCCAAATACAACACATAAGAGTGAAAAAAAGAAGACAATACATAAGCAAAAACAAATTAAATTTAATGGAAAGTATTTTGATTTGCCCATAACATATCAGCAATATTTTCTCTTATATTTGCCATATGATTTCCGTCAGGTATACTACCTCTCTCCATGTCATCAAGATCATTCTCAGAATTTACGTTGTTGATATTTGTATCTCCCATCACTTCAACAAAATCCTCATCAAAATAATTCGAAATTCTGATAAAATTATGTAATCCCATTGTAGCCGTTACCACTCTTTTTTGAACATCAATATCATATCTAAAAAATTCACAAAGAATCCTCTATTTTTTTTTCCAAACCCCAAATGTCCTCTCAATAACAGAACGTAGAGATGCATGACATCGATTAAACAACTCCTGTTTATTCCTAGGAGGAGGACCATTGTAAAACTGTGACATGTGATACCTAACAACTCCGTTCCGCGAAGATCTATAAGGTGCCAAAAAGCCTTGTTTATTTGGATACCCAGAATCAACTACATAATACTTGTCTCTTGGAGGCAAAGGAAATTCAGAATCATTATCTTGTGCCATCGTTAGAACTGCTGTATCGTGACACGATCCAGGTACTCCATTCCAAACATATGTAAACAACATATTTATATCACATATTGCCATGATATTAAACGATGTTCTATCGTGTCGATTCCAATATATTCTTTGTAGTTCAAGCTTCACCTTAACACATACATGAACTTCATCTATAGCTCCAACAAATCCACTGAAATATGGCCAATATCTTCTATCCATTTATAGTTTTTCAGGAATTCGACGTAGTTCTTGTCTTGTTGGAGTCTTGATATAATCACAAGCGAGTAACTCTGTCGCTCTAAGGACTTCAAAAAAATTCCGATTCAGTGTTTCTTGCGTTCGTCCAAATCGTAACCCAACATCTCTTTGAACTTCATTGTGTCCACATATCCGTAAAAACATGGCAACACTCTCTTCAATGCTAACATTCAATGTAGGTTGTAATCCATAACGTGTTTCCATTATGTCACATAATGATCTAAAACAATCAAGAGACATTCGTAGTAACTGAAGACAAGCATCACTATCTTCTTGTATTCGACGCCAAATATTTCTCCATCCCAACCCGCCATCTGTTTGAATTGGTCCTCTTTCAAAATTTCGATTGTAGTAACTCAATGACGGTTGAATTATTAACTCTTCAAATTGCTCATTTTTCAAATTCCATAATTCAATTCTCTCTTCATAATTTAGATTGTGTACACCTTGTGATCGCAATTGGCATATACGAAAAGCCTGAAATTTTTAAACACGAAACAAAAATAAACTAATGAGAAATAAAGTAAATCAACAGTACTAGTATGTTCTGACATTACAAAAATATAATGCAAAATAAAACATAAAGGAAACTAAAACACAAGCGTTATTGAACTAGTTCTCAGATGCTGAATCACTTTGATGAGTTTTATTTAAATTTAGTCCTCCTTCAGATCCCCAAATGTTGAATAATCCTCCTCGTCTTCGTGGTTTTGATGTCCTCGTCAAATGATTGTTTTCTACGACTTCCTCGTGAACAACTCCTGGTAGAAATTTGGGAGTTTCCTGCACCTCTTTGCGAACTACTTCCACGCCTTACTCCACCTCGTTGTTGAATTTGGATGGAGGAATCTGAAAAGGAGCAGCAGGTGACGAATTCTGATGCAAATTTTCACGGATGAACGCATTTAACTGACGTGTTTCATCATCAATGTTAACACGATACACCTCTTCATTTTCTTGTGTCTCAGGAACTTGACTGTCTTGCATATCACCATCATATGTTTCAAAGTATACATGACCTTCATCATTATCCAGACCATCATTGCTCAGCTGTTCTCTTCTTTGGTTCACAGAGAATTGAGGCTGCGAGTGTACGTCATATAATATGAAACATCGTTGCATCACATCCCAAAGCTCTGGCGGCTTTCGTTTAAATGATTTGACAATTTTACATACATGTTAATAAGATGATAAATTTTTTAGCTTATAAATCTTTTTTAAATTTTACTAAATTATATTTTGGTTATGAGAGACATTATAAATACTTACTTCACGCTCTTGCCACCATGAGTTAGATGCCGATATCACAGATGTAGTAGTATCAACCGAGATGCCCGTGGAATCTTTCATAAGATGCTTGTATTTCTTTTTAGTTGATCAAGTTTTTCTTTGAAGAACCGATAATTTGTATTAAGATTAAACTCGTTAAACTTGTCAACTATAAATTATATACCAAGGGGTGTAGGATAATTTAACTTGTTAAACCTGTCAACGATAAATTATATACCGATAATTTATAATTGCCCATGGCAATTGCTTGATCGTACAACTCAAGAAATATTATTTCTCGGTTAGGAGTCCACTTAAAATTATCTTCACTCTACAAATTATGAAAAATTTTAATTACTTTTTTATTTAAATTCTAATTACTTGAAAATTCAGAAAAAAATTATTTCTAACAAACATACCCGTGCTGATGTTTCTGTGGGAAGATTTAGATCTTCTTCTTCTGAAAAATTTGTGTTTTGTCGTCTATTCGACGCCATATCTACAATTAAAAAAATAATATAAGTAACACTAAAACAAATAATAATATACTAAATAATATGTTGTGTGACAATAAAAAAAAATATTATGTAAATATTACACATTTATGAAATATAAACAATGAAAGATAGAAATTTAGAGTTATCTACAATCAAACATAATTTACAAATTAATATGTATGAAATTATTATGCATATCTACATCATAAAAAGCATATCATTTTAAATATCATAATTTTGAATTATTCTATTTGTAAGCATATATAAAAATAAAAGTATCTATTAAAAATATATTAAAACTAAGTATATATTAAAAAAATAAGTATATTTTAAAGTATATACTAAAAATAAAATATTTATTAAACTAATACTAAATCAACTTATAAGAAGCAATATAAATTTAATTACTTTAAACTAACAAACTTCTTTTACTAGAATATTACAAACTAAAGATGTAGTAGTAAATTAGAAAGTTAAAAATAAATATTTGAAAAAAATAGATTGATGCATGAATCTATAAATGATTAAAAAAACATATATTTATGTTGTTTGGCTAATATTGTTCCCTACGATTCTACATCATATAAACGAAATTTTAATCTACATTATTGCATGAAAAAATAATAAATATTCATAACTAATGACATCAATAAATTTAACATAAACATCAAAACAAAATTAGGATAAAAAAATTAATGTATACCTGTAGATAAGGCTCCCTTTGATTTTCAACGTTGCTATTTCCACTTGAACCACTTCTTATAACACAGTCATGTAAGACATATGTTTTTAGATTAATATTTTTTACCAATTTTATTATTAATATGCAAATATTTAAAATTATAGGCATTATTTTTTTACAAGAAAACTCATCTATCTATTTAAATAAAATTTAAAAATTGATTTATACTAAAATAACATACATAAAGTTGATTTACTAATTTGTTTAATCTCTATATTTTAAAACCTTGAAGAAAAAATTAGGATAGAGATATAAACTACACAATTATAACAATTTATAAAATATATTTATACTATACATATATAAATAAATACTATAATATTTATTTTTAGTTTTGTAAAAAAAAAAAGTTACATTTTACAAAAAAAAAAGCAACGTAGAAGAAAGAAAGAGAGAAAGCAAGACACTCACCTTTTTGTAATGTGATGTAATGTGTGAAGTACAATAGAGTGTTTGTGTTTTTATAGAAGAAAGAGACTAATATTTATTTTGATTTTCGTTTTTTATTTATTAAAAATTGATGATCTGCTGTTGGACTACTTCAATTAACGTATGAGAGAGAATTCTCTAATTTGACATGCTTTTATCACAAAAAGACAAAAAAACATTTTTCTGCATGCAGACAGCCCACTTTTCTACTTTTTTTCCTGATTGTTAAATTAAATACAGTTCACCTGTCCCACAAGTTGGACTACCAAATTTCTGTCCTAACATTCAAAGCCTATATTAACAAAAGTCATCATTATGGAGAAGACCAATAGTTGAATCACGTTTTCCAATTCTCAATCTTTTTTAGAAAATAAATGATTGATATGATACATGAAAGAAGTGACTAAAAAAAAAGATAAAAATGTAATATTAATATGTTTAAATTATTACGAGACAAACAAATATAATTAATGTGAATAATAAAAAGTTAGATTTATAATTGATGTGATTGATAAGAAAAGACTTATAATTTCTCACAAAAAAATGATTGATTTGATAGTAGAAAGAAGTGACTAAAACATTACACACAAAAAATACAAGAAGAAAAAGAAAACACTAAAGTGTTCAATCTATAATAAAAAGAAACTTTATTTTTCGAGTTTTCATTTTCTTATAATCATTTGAAATTATATTAAAAATTAAATTCTATTAGAAAAAATCTTTTTTTTTATCGACCAAATCCATTAATATGGAAAGCCATAAAAAAACATAACAAGTAGTTTTGTTGATACCCAACAATCTGGACTTTACATACGAAAATTAATGATTAAAAAAATAGAGAAGATAGTTTTTTAATAAAGCCCAGATTTCGACAGGTGTGGAACGCATGTTTAGACAGAAAACAACAAAGATTGAAACTTCACTGTTCACCGTCTTCCGTCACAAGTTCCGTTCAATGCATAGTTATGATACATGACTAAGTTCAATAATAAGGAACAAAAAATAATAAAAGTTAAATAAAGGACATATGATTTCAAAAAAGTTTAATAATAAAATTTAAAAATAAATGAAGAAATGGATGAAACACTTGGACCACTACAAAAATGAGGGCTCCGAATGGAGAAAGCGTATCAGGCAGAGCGGATAAAGCGGATCAAGCGTATCAAGAGTATCAAAAGCGGATCAAACGTATCTGGCTGTACAAATGAGGATATAGTTCGAGCGCTTTAAATATGGACTTGAGTGGAAGGTTAAAAAAAAGAGATGCCACATTGGTTCGGGTGAACCGTACATGTATCCCCCATTCATTATTTTGATTATGTCATTGTGCGTTCTTTTTTTTTTAATGATTAAAAATGAATGAACCACTAGTGGTTCATAATATTGAAGAAAACTTGAGATCCGTTAGAAACAGTAGAAACACATCAGTTATCAAGCGTTTTTCTTATTCAAAAACAATTTTCTTGTTTTTTATAACTTTTTAGTATTAATATTAACTAATTATGCAATTTGAGTTATAACATATTATTTTAGATAGAAAAGTTTAGTCTTACCATTAATCTCTAACATCATTATGGGAATGATTAACTTTATTTTTTCTATCTAATATTAAATCTTTTTTCATTTTTAATTATAAATATAAAATAAAATTGTGTGACTTTATTGATGATTTTTTTTGGAATTGTAGACTATAATTAAGATGTTACAATATTTACATTTCATGTTATCATTTGTATTTTTTTTTGCAATGTTAGTACTTTTTTCTAAATCATTTTTTTATTTTTTAGTATTCAAATATTTTTTCTGGTATACTTGTTATCCGCTTTTACCATTCAAACAGATATATTAAAGCGTTCGAACCGCTAGAACCGTTTGATCCACACTTGTACCGCTAAAATCGCTTGATCCACACTTGTTCTGCTTGATCTGCTTGATCTGCTTGGTCCGCTCCGCTTGAAACGCTTTCTCCATTCGGAGTCTATGTGTTGAATGGTGAAAGTGGAGGTGGTGCACGTGAAGTAATTATATTATAAAAAATAGTAATTTTCAATAAAATATTTTTACATAAACAATACATACTAAAAACAATTATATTAAAATAAATTTGCAATGTTGGTTTAACATATTTTTGAACATGTGTTTAAAAAATACTATATATATATATATATATTTTAAACTAAGAGACGATTGGCGCAGAGACAAAAACGGGATAAAAAATTAAGCAAGAGATAATCAAATTTTTTTTTTTTGTCAAGGAAATCTGTTACAAATTTTTGATAAGAAAGCCTGCAATACAAAAGTATTACGAAAAAACCATGCACTGCGCGTAAGATAATGGGTTGACTTCGAGCACAAAAACATTTAATGCGTCTTTGGTGCAATGACATACAAAATTGACATGTATATACTCCCTCCGTTTCGTTTTAGTTGTCGCTTAAGGTTTTTTCACATAAATTAAAAAAAAGCATTAAATTTTCTGTTTTACCCTTTATTAATATATTTTATAAAAAATTTCATTGGCCAAAACATTAAAACAATAGGGATAAAACTGGAATTTTCACCAAACATTTGCATTAAAAACCTAAAACGACAACTATTATGAAACAAAATTTAAATCCTAAAACGACAACTAAACTGAAACGGAGGGAGTATTTATTAACGGTTACACCAACATTAATTGTTTCGTCCATAAATTTGGTACATATAATTGTATATTAACATCTAATAATGTAGTTATTACGTTGAGTCGATAGTTAGATCTTTGTTTTTTTTTTTAGTGTGTTAAATAAACAGTTTGATGACAATCAGAGGTGATCAAAATTTAAGTTAGAGAAATTTTAACACGGTACAAAAATATAAATTCAAAATTTTAACATTTATATACATGTGTATATATATATATACATACAGTGCGTTGAAAGTAATTAAAGTGTTAAGTCTTGGAGTCTATTTATACAAATAGAGTTCATTATTAACATTTGTATACATATAAACACGTATATAGAGTTTTATTAACATTTGTATACAAATAATCACGTTTATATACATATTATATAGTAAACAATATATAGAGCGTTATTACATATATGCATAAAAATGTATACATAAAGCGTTATTAACATATGAGAAAACATGCAACAAGAAAATGCAGATCCATAACTATATTTGGATAACAAATAAGATGGATGAATTTTAAAATACAGATCTAATAACAAAAGTAGATCTACATATCGAAAGTTAGAAGCTTCATTATTAACATTTGTATATATATAAACACATAGATAGATTTTTATTAACATTTATATAAATATAATCATATTTGTATACATATTACATAAATATAGTATACAATATATAGATGGTTATTTGTACATTTATGTGCATAAGAATATATACATAAAGCGTTATTAACATATGAAAAAATATGCAACAACAAAATGCAGATCCATAACTATATTTGGATAACAAAGAAGACGGATGAATTTTAAAATACAGAGCTAACAACAAAAATAGATCTACATATCGAAAGTTAGAGGGTTTGTGGAATATTAAGTAATTTTAAGTTGAAAGGGAAAAACTTAAACAAACTTAAAAACCAACGTTCATGCATGAGGCGAGACGGATCTGGGAAATCAAAAGAAAAAAAAATAGCAAACTCGACTGGAACAAATCAATAGATAATTCTGGCCATTATTTTTAATCGAAGAAAAACGGATTGGTGAACAGTTTCACAACATGAATCGCGAAGAATAATAAAACTGATAAAGGAAAGAGACTTCGCTGGCACGGATAAGCGTTTATAGTTAAGAACTGAAGGGAAGGCGATGATGGTTTCTTTAAAAATTGAATAGCTTGGATGAGAGATAGATGATGATAGGCCTGGGCATAAAACCCGAAATTCGAAAACCGATCCGAAACCGATCCGAAAAAATCCGGAACCGAATCCGAACCGAATAGTCACAAAATCCGAACGGATAATGAATTCTCCTATCCGAATTACCCGAACCGAACCCGATCCGAACAGAAAACCGAAAGGATATCCGAAAACCGGAAATAAAAATTATATATCCAAAAATATTAGTTATATTTAGTTGTAATTTTATAGCAAATAACAAAAATATCCTAAATATCCTAGATTTCGGAAAAATTTTAGTTATATTTGTTAAAATTATATATATTTTTGCAAAATTTAACCAAATTTTTGTAAGATTAAACCAATTTTTATTAAGATTGAACTATTTTTAAGTTTTTTTTCCCGAAAACCGATCCGAATCCGACACCTATCCGAACCGAAACCGAACCGATGACTCATAAAATCCGAACGGATAATAAATTCTCCTACCCAAATTATCCGAATCCGAATATATCCGAACCGAAACCGAACCGAAAAATCATAAAATCCGAACGGATAATAAACTCTCATACCCGAATTATCCGAATCTGAATATATCCAATCCGAATCCGATTTGAAATCCGAATGCCCAGGCCTAGATGATGATAACTCATAAATGCGTCTGACACGTATTGTGGCCAAAATATCGCATGAGGTTATTTCAGGAAAGATCGTGGACAAAATATATATGTTGTTTGAGTTTTAAAATAAATTGCAAGAAATTATATTTGGACCAAATCTTCTATTTTACACCTAATTATCTCTTAAACTAATCAAAAATAATGTTTAAATTTTCATAGATAACATAAAAGAAAAGAATTACATAATTTTTATTAACATTATTTAGTATGTTAGATACCAAATAATAGCATAAACGGTTAATAAGTATGACAAATTATTATCTAAGAACATTTAAACATTATTTTTATTATTTTAATATATATATATATATATATATATTGGATTTTTAAAGTAATTTAAAATCACTATACAAAATTATTTAATATTTTAGATAAAAAATAATAACATAAATTTTTAAATATTGAAAACAGATAATTTATATATATTACTCAAATATTTGGATTATTTAAAATACTGTAGAAATATAGCAATAAATATGAGATGGAAATGTAAAACAAATTATTTGGTTAATTGATTGGATTTGGATTATTTATACAAATAATATTGGATTTTAGAATAATAATAAATAAAATAGACGAACCATATTTGAACCTAGAATTGTTGTGTAATTGATGCAGTTTTACTGTTTGTAGCGGTTCTAAAGTTTTGTTCATAAATTTGGACTGCTTGTCTTCCATTAATTTTTTATTAATATAAATAAAAACGTATTTTATGAAAGTAAAAGTTGTGAATGGGAGATATGAAAGTGGACGAAGCCGTCCGGTGCTCGATCGGTCTTTTTTGAGTTTTCCATTCATAGAAGTCCAAGAACCGCAAGTGGTTGTCACTCTTTTCTTCACAAATTTGCACCCCCCACAATATAATTCACTTTTTCTTTTAAAATATTAGCAGATTATATTTTAGTTGAATGGTGTTATATATACAGATAATATGCTTTGGTAGACGAACCACTTTAATTCCATCTTTCCATTTAAGGCCTTAATCTCAAAGATAGATGCTCTGTCTTTTGACATATCATGAAGTCAACTTCGTATAACTAACGAAGAAATTTCAACGAAAAAATTACTCTAATCATTTGAGAAGAACCAAGTCGCGGTTAAAAAAAGAAACTAATCTATAACTACCCGATTTGGATTTAGTTCCCGTAAAAAGATGAACAAAAAAAACATACTTGAATGGAAAACAATCCAAACTAAGTTGGTAATAGAGACTAATATACTTTGAAAAAACGAAAATTAGATATCCGACCAAAATCGGAAGATATGTATATATACAAAAGAACCAGAAAAAATTTCGGTTAATCGGAAATAGTTTTTTTCTCTCTAAAAGATAAGGATGTGTTAAAATAGAAAAAGCTTTGTGCTGTTAGAAAAAAAATAACTTGAATTCCTTACAATGGAAATCAGATTTCATTTTACTTTATAGGAATTTCCCACGAGCAAGGGAGTGACGTAATTGTGTTGTCGTTACTCGTTAGTCTTGTAACAAATAAAACAAAATAATAAAGCAAGAAAAAAAAAACATCTCTACAATAATTAATTGAGAAGTAGAAACGCACCATATTGAAAGTTAAGGCATTGGAGACCTATGGTTAAAAGTTAGAATGATTTGTCCTAAACACCCTTAATGAATTGTTCTTCTCGAAATTTCTCCTTCTTCGTAATTAGGGGTATATAAGTCTAATCGTGTGTTGATCTCTATAATAATGTCCTAAACACCCTCAATTCAAAAATTTTTGTTCTTAGTTGTTAAGGGTATATAAGTCTAATCGTGTTTTGTGATGATTAGTCTTAATCACCCTTAATTTTTTTTATTTTATAGTATGATCGTTGGGGATATGGAGGTCATAATATCTCGACTTTAATGATTATGGAATCTTAGCTTAAATTTATTTGTTAATTTTTTGGATAATTCTATAACTTAGTAGTTAAAATTCGTTTTTGTTAGTTTTCTGATTTTGTTTCTAATTAAAAAGTTAAATTTCTTAAGATAATGATTGATGTTTGCCCTAATCTTAAAGCTATATATATTGTTGATCGGCCAGAGGATTAGGTATTATTTTTCTGTGGCCATTAGATAGTTTTCACCGTTATGGTTTTTTTATATAGCTACTACAATTCTGATGAATCGAGTTGTTTGTCATGCAAATATTGTTTTCATGGACCTTTAAAGGTCGTGTGCATATTGTTTGTGTTGTTTGTTTTATTTTTTTGCATTATTCGATGATTTATTGTTTTGCTAATTTGGTGTTTTTGGTGTGTGTTTCAGTTTTGTATAACGTGGGAGGTTCCATCGACAAAGCTCTCTGACGAAGGTGGTGTTGACGAGCAAAGAGCGAGGTTTGGGGAGGTACTTCTATAGTTTTAATTTGTATATTTTTATATTTATTTACCCATATACATTTATGTGTTTCTTCCTGTTATCGTATATACTTTTATATGCGATTTTATTGCGTTTTATTTTTTAGTATTGATTTATAATTAAATTGTCAAATAGTTTTGAGTTTATGTGCAAGGTTTGACATGTTATTGTTTGATTTTCATCTTACCGTGATTTTGAAGGTACTCGATGAACTCATATCTCGGTTTGTGTCGGTTTATTGGAAACAGGTATTTCTCTTATTTGTATCTAATATGTTGGTTATTGTGGATCGGTTTTAGTTTGATATTAATTTTCTAACCTTTAAATGATGATTTGGCTTTTGTTTTTTGTATATATATTTCGCGATAATCAAATGTTACGGGTTATTCTTATTTCGTACCGTTGGCTTAGGTAACCGCTGGTGTTTCCTTCTCCCGAAGATGCACGAATGATATGTTTTATTTTAATAAGGTATTTTGTTGAATATTGTGTATTTATTATGTAACGTAATAATCGTTTTATGTTTAATTTATATATTTGTTTCTCTGATGTTTTAGACCACACGGAATTGGCGTAGAAGATTTGTTGCTCCGTCGTGTTTTACGGATCGCGTGGGCTTTTGTAAGCATGTATGTTTATTCTCTTATTGTCTTATGTGTCATGACTTGTATATATAGACATCAGAATATCTTACCATTCTATAAGGTATGATTTTAATTGTTTCGTTTGTTTGTAAAGGTTTTGAGTGGGCTGAAGTATTCACTACGACCGAATATTTTGAAAGAGGTATGTTGTGTGTAGTTTACGTATTTGTTAGATCCTATGTCCTATTATTATAGATGTCTTCGTGTTTTCTAAATTATTTGTTTGTTTTCTATTGTCTACTTATTTTTGGGTTCTTTTTTTTTTTTTTTTTTTGATGTAGAGGACTGAGATTGGAAGCAAAGCTAGGAGTTACAGCAGTATCTATTTGTTGTTTAGTTATATTGCTAAGGGTAGTGATGTATCTGTTGATAAATACGGATCATACCCTTTGGTGTTTGGTATTGATCAAACCGTACCAAATTTTGGATCGGGGCCTATATTTGAAGACTCTGATGATGAGTAATTATTTTATTTGAATTTGTTGCTATTTATCTTGGCTTCTATATATTTTATTTAGTTAATGATTAATATTCTGTTTTAAAAATTTATGTCGATCTAACTCATTATATAATATTAGCGATGGTTCGAATTATTCTTATTGGCGTTATCTATCTTAATATGGTGTGAGTTTTGTTTTGTGTATAATCTAGAGATTCACATAGTTATTAATATTATTTTGTTGCTATTCTTATGTTTTAAATAGTTATTAGGAAAAAGATATTTTTAAAATTTAAAAATTTGTGGCTATGACTGCTTAGTTCAATTTCCACCGTGTATGTGCACTGTAAACAATTGGTTCATTTATTTCGAGGTTTTCTACCTCTCTCTGATTCCTAAAAGAAAACTGAGGGTCTTGGGCGGTGGTTTCGTTCAAAGATGTCCGAGCAAATCTACCTTTCTAATCTTGCTCGAGGTAGGACGGTTAAGTACGTTCGGGTGAAGATTCTGAGTCTTTGGAGGGTTCGCATCTACGGATTTAGGTGTAAAACAGAAATGCTTCTTGCCGACGAGCAGGTGCGTGTGTCTTTGTCGTTTTTTCTTTTGATCGGTTAGTTTGTTGATTTTGGGTGGATCTACTAGATTATTTTTATAGTTTTGCTTATTTTATTATAAATCTTTAAGGATTATTTGTCTTTGGTTTGTGATTTGTTGTTTAGTTGTGTTAAGAAATATTTGATTTTTGTTGTTTTGCATGTACCTAGGGGACAAAAATTGAGGGTACAATCGGTTGTGGTCCTTTCCATAACGTTGATATGAGGGAGTTAAGGGAAGATGCGTGGTATACTATTTCTGACTTTGTTGTTTCTGTTCCGATCCGGAGGACCCCGAACACACTTCACCCTTTCCATATCAAGTTCCACAGTGATACAAAGATGACATTGATTTATAATCTATACTCGCTCAATTTTTTTGTGTTTGCAAAATATTCTGTCATTAAGAGGAGGCTTTTGGAGGCAAATCGTCCATTTGGTGTGTCACATTCTTTTTATTAGCTAATCTCATTTTTGGTTTCTATTATTGTTTGAAGTATCTTTAGTTTTTTATTTGTTAGATGTTCTGTGTTGTTAGAAACCTCTTATGTCTCTATTGGTATGATTTGTAGTGATATGTGTTCTTTTTGTGAGTTTGCTAGATTTATGTGGAGTTGTGGTCTATGTGTCCGAAATTAAAAGGATGACTTATGTTCCCGGAGAGTATGATGCAAGTACTGCATGCAATAATCTATATTTCCGTCTCATGGATCAGAAGTAAGTCTATGAATTTGATTTTGTTTTGGTGCTATATTTAGTCCATGGTTATTCTTGGTTTTTTTGTGATTATGTAGAGTTTATTTAAAGACTGTCACTGATCTTAGGTGTTTTTGAAATGGTGATTAATAAAACAGAGGTAGGGAGCTGCCATGTTTTGCGCTTGGTCATTATGCTGCTGATTTTATGAATGTGTGGACAAGCCGAGGCTACCAGGCTTCATTCCGTTATCAACCTGTTTTCTGTGTGTTGCGTTTCTGGAAAGTCGATGAGTTCATGGGTATGCATTTGGTGTATTGATGTCGAATCTATTATAGATAATATATATAAAGGGCTTATTCAAATTGTGTTGATGTGGCTATAGGTGAACCTTCTATCTCCACCAGAATTGGTTGTTCTAAGATATATCTTGAGCCAACATTACCGGAGATCAAGGACTTGAGGATGATGTAAATGATTATTGTGATTTTTTAGTGTTTATATATGTAGTTTGATTTTGTTATGGATTCAAATTTATTATTTTGTTTAATTTAATAAATTTAATTCTCAGGTCTGTTTTCATAGCTAGGGTAACATGGGCTATTGAAGAAGGTGAGGATTGTGATGACGCCGGTGAAGTTGTTGATCAGAATTTTTAATGTTCTTGGTGTAAATCAAGAATTGTATCCCTATTTCCGTAGTGTGCATAAACATGGATACCCTCTTCTGTTGGTTTAATTTCTTTTTGTAAAAATCTCTTATTCTTGTGTTATGTTATTATGTCATGTTGAGATTCGTTGAAGTTATCTAAACTACTTTATAGATTTTCTAATTATTTTATATTGTAGATTAGCTTGTGGTAGAGATTATGTCAGATTTTTGATGTATGACTTGTGTTGTCATATCTTGCATGGTTTGTAATAATTTATGTCAGATTTTTGATGTATGACTTGTGTTGTCATATCTTGCATGGTTTGAAAACATTTTTATTTAATTATTGATTATTCAGTAATCGATGTTACGTTAGATTAATTTCTATATTAGTTGTAATATACTTCCAATTCCACTCATTAATTCACGCTGCTACTTAGATTGATTTCTATATTAGTTGTAATATACTTCCAATTCCACTCATTAATTCACGCTGCTACTTCTAAAAAAAAAAAACAGAGAAAAAAAAACTCTTCGGTTTCTTGCTTCGTCTTTTCGGATTATCGAGATTTCTTATTGAAGTATCTATAACCAGTTATCAATTTTAGTTGTTTCCTTCAACATGGCTTACTTCCATGATGTTTCGATTTTGCGCCCTTGTATTACGGGTTGGCACATACGAGTGAAGGTTCTGCGCATGATTAATGTTTGCATAAATCCTCGGAATGCTCTCCGTTTTGTTCTGGTGGATGATAAGGTACTTTGGTTTTGTTCTGTATAGATATGATTTTAAAATGCTAATTCGTGTTAGTTACTAAACAGACTATGTCGTGTGTCTAGGGTTTTAAGATCGATTGTTGGATTAATAGTGAATATGCGAAACATTATGCTGAGTTTTTGAAGGAAGATCGATGGTTTTCTTTTACAGAGTTTCGTGTTCTTGAGAACTCTGATAGGGTCAGGCTTACCAATCATCATTTCAGAATGTCTGTCTTTGGAACGACTGTCGTTCTTCCCGCCGATCCACCGTCGACTGAACCCCGTGACTCCTTTACTCCGTTTAGTTCGATAATTGACGGAACGGTTGACGAGAGTGTCTTGATTGGTAAGTTATATATAATGCTCATTTTGTTTGTTGTGTTTGGAAATACCTGTCTGAATTATAGTTGTGTCTGTTTCTTAACTAGATTTGATCGGGGTTTTGTCTGATGTTGGTGAATTGGTGAATGTCGGGACAAATCCATCAGATCTCACTGGCTTCAGACTGAGCTTTCGGATTCGTGGGCCTTGGTTAGTAAATAGATATTTTCTCCCTTTGTGAATTTTTTCTGGGTATTGTCCTGTTTGGTGTTAAATGTTAATTATATCATTTTTATTTTTGTTGTTTTGTTTGTGTTTTCTTGAATAAATATAAAGCGGGAATGCTATCGATGGTTTGGTGTCGGGACGCTCAGCGATGGAGTTCCGAAAGCACTATGACTTGTGTGTTTCGAAGCCTTTGGTCTGTATTATGCGTCTGTGGAAGGTAGACAGATATTTCGATGGACCAAAGAATGTTAGGATTGTTAACAAGGGGCTGATTTCTAAGGTTTTGCCATATCCTGATGTTCCTGAGGCTGCTGAATTTTGCACTATGTCGGTAGTCATTTCCTATATTCATTATTATTTTATTTTTTATTTTTTTGTTTTTATATCTGATTTTTTGTTTGGCTGCTTTGTCTTAGGTCTTAATGTGTTGGTGAGACAAGTGATTCGAACTAGGACATTAACGGTGGATGTGTAGTGTGATTCATCTGGACGTTGCCCGTGTGACTCTTTTGTGAATATCGGAAATGTTAACTGTTTGTTTTTGGTTTTGTACTCCGATCATCTTGGTTTGTATGAATATGAACTTAGAATAATATTCTCCTTTATGCGGTATTGATATATTATCGTATTGACATATGATAATCTTCTGTTTTTATGAATGATGGTATTTTTTGTAATTAGTTTCAACCATGGTCGCTAGATTTAAACGGTCATATATATATAGATAGATTACATATATATATATATATATATATATATATATATATATATATATATTTTTTTTTTTAAAAAATATATATAGATAAAAGGTTGAATTTATTTTCGATAATATTTGATAGATTTCCGTTTTAGTGAAGATTTTATTTATGATAGATTCTGTTTTAGTGGAGATTTATCTTATCATAAGTAAATTGTTTTGATAAAAAAAAAGTTAATTGTTTTATTTAGTATGTTGATATTGTTCAATTTCTATATTTTATATTTGTGAATCTTCCTAAACTAAATACTCGCGTATATATATTATACTTGATATATATATATATATATATATGTATAATAAATAATATTCTCGCACTTTTCTTTATTCCGCAAAATTTGTTTCTATTATGGCTCATCTTCTCTCTAATGCCATCAGGAACTCGATTCGTAAAAGAGAATGTTTTTTTAGTGTTTCTGATTTGAATCCCTTTGTTCATGAGTGGAAGATTAAAGTTAAAATACTAAGAAAGTTTTATTTGTATGAGACGTTGGAACTAATATTGGTGGATGAAAAGGTAAACTAATGTATATTGGGCTTTGTCTCGATCTGTATCCAATCTAATGTTTCTTCGTAATTTTCTGGTAATCTATTATTTATCGATTGACATGCCTTTTTTCATTTTTCGTCTTAGGGTCAAAAGATTCATGCTGTAATAAACAAGGAGTATGAGGATCGGCGCACCTCGAAAATTGTTGAGGGCAATTGGATAAGTATAACTAATTTTGATTTGGTTCCTGTTACAGAAGCTTTTAGACCGGTTCCCCATCGTTTTAAGATTGTATGGAACTCAGGCACAACGATTAAGGACATTCGAACATTGTGTTCCGCTGATTTCTTTTCGTTTGTCGCTTTCGAGGATATCAAAAGTGGTTCTTTGGACCCTACTTTATGTGTTGGTAATATCAAATTTTCTTATTATTAATGTGTTTAGTGTAATTAATAATATTTTATCATGTGTTGATGTAGGAGATTGTTTTGCTTTCCGTTTTAATATTATCGTGTGCAATTTGATATGTAGATCTAATTGGACGTGTCGTGAGGGTTGGTAATGGAAGAGAGTCCGCCACCTGCTTCTGATTGGAACGAGTTATTTTTGGAACTGGAAAACGAAGAGTGAGTTTCTTTGTTGTTAAATGTTTTTTTTTTACTGTTATTGTGTGTTTTGTTGTGGATATATTTATTTATATATATTAATATATAAATATTTATATCACTCTGGTCTCAAGGGGAGAGCGTTTGCAGTGTCGTTTACCAAAAGAATACTCGAATGCGTTCTTTAAGGAATGGAGGAATTGTCTTGATAACATCATCATATGTGTATTGAGGTTCGCGAGGCTAGAAGTTACTCGAGGTAATTCGATTGACATTTCCTGCATGTGATTTTTATTTTTCTGTCGTGTGTTGGATTTAAATATATTATTTATTTGTGTTCAATTTATTTAATGTGTTATTGTTTTTTTTGTTTATTCTTTGTTTGGTTATTAGATTTCTGGAGAGCTACCACTGTATACACATGTACCAGGATTTTGCTAAATTATCGATGTGTTGAAGTTACAAGAATGAGGGATGTGTTTTACGATAGAAGGGAAGCGGACGATTAGTTTTCAAAATGGATTTTGTATGCTTTTGGCTTCACATTTATTACTAATGATTTCTTATTCTGGCTTTGGCATTTTATTCGAACGATTTGGTTTAAGTTCTTAATGTTAGTAGTTGGTGTATTCTTTTATGCAAACGAATTAATCGTCATACTTTATCATAAAGTTAGTTAGTAAATTGATTTCTCTTTCTCTCTCTCTTTTCGGCCCGTTATCACGCATGTGGTCCTAATAAAATGGATTTGGAAGATGCAAATATATATGACTAATTCAAAATTTATATAGTGTTCGTGGTAAGATTTGTATATATATATTTTTTTTTTGGGTTAGTAATTGTGTACCACCTACTTTTTATTTGCTTACCTTCTTTTGTTCTTTTTATAGATGTTGTTGGTAAGGTCGAGAACGTGAGTGAATTATATTTTGTTCCTTTAGTCGGCTCCTCCGGAGGATGTTTTGAAATCTTATTTGATTTGCGTAATTCAGAGTATGGTGTATTGTTTCTATTCGCATTTTTTAAAAAATGGGATAGTAACAAATCAACGATTTCGATAAACCTTAACTTTATACGATTGACATTATAGTACAGCAGCAATATTGCCCAGTGATGATATTGGTTTGGAATCTAGCATTCCTACAGTAAGCAATATATTCTGATAACAGAAAAAGATAGAATATCGAATCTATTATATTCTGATTAATCCAATAAAGTAAGATTTCTATATTATAAGATACTGTTATGAGATTTTTAAAATAAAATATAAGATTGTTTAGGCCGATGAAAATATAAGATTAGGGATATTAACAATATCAATTTATGCAGAAAAATAAGTTGCCTTTTTAAAAATGTGATAGTAACAAATCAACTGTTTCGATAAACCTTAACTTTAAACGATTTACATAATGGTAAAAATAGCAGTTTTGTCCAGCGACAATATCGTGTGGCTATCTAGCATTTCCATGGTGAGCAATATATTCTGATAGCATAAAAGGATATTATATCGAATTTATTGTATTCGTTTGGATCTAATTAGGTAAAATTCCAACGTTATAAGATACTGTTATGGCATTTTTTAAATATAATGTTAATTTGCGTAGACCGTGAGACCAATGAATATCCCTGACATTATTTATTAATTATTAACCTCCTTATTTGGGTATAAATAAAGGTGCGCGTGTCCCCTAAACGATCACCTCTTGATCGATTAGATAGCATTCTCTCTGTTTCTTCAGTCGTAAAATGTCTCAAAATTCCTCACACGATATCACAAGTGACGTAGACCAACCGGATGTTTGTGTTGATTTTGCTGACTTAGGCCCCGGCATGGTTACTATGAGGGTTAAGGTGAGAATTATTAGGAGGTTCGTGTGTCCTGCGTATGGCGCTAGGTTCGTGGAATTCGTACTAGAAGATCCAAAGGTACATAATTATATACTATCATCAAAACGTTTATACTGTATGTATACTAATTAGTCCTTTATTTGTTTCATTAGGGTCAAAAGATACATGCTGTAATTGGTGGGGACGTCGCGCAACGGTTCTCATCTATCCTCATAGAAGGCAATTGCATAATTTTATCCGACTTTGTTGTACGAATGGCTCTCGGAAGGTTTAGACTGTCTTCGCATAGATTTCGACTTGGTTCAAACGCTCTCACTTCGGTCAATTTAATAAGGCCTTTCTCTCAAAGTGATAATTTCCATTTCGCGAAGTTTAGTGATATCAAAGAAGGACACCTAAATCCTTGCTTCTGTGTTGGTAAGTGTTGTGCGTTACATCGTTTAAAGTATTTTTAATTTGGATTGTTTATCACCCTCTGTATATTGAAACGCACAGATTTGATTGGGCGCCTTCTGGTTACTTTTGATTTTCGACGATCGGAGTCGAATCGTGTTAAACATCGCTTTTTTTCAGATGAAAGACCGAAGGTATGAATTAAATTCTTTATAATAATATTAAAACGGAACGGGTGTGACTCATTTTCTTTTTTCGTGCTTAAGTGGTGTACGTCTAATTTTTCGATTGCCGGATGTCTTTGTTGATTCGTTTATGAATGAACGGAAGAAATGGATTGGTGATTTCCAAATTCTCATCGTCAGATTCGCTAAATTGGAAGTCGTCAAAGGTCCTACCATTGCATTGTTACAAATAATATTTATATAGATTTCCCTGTTTGTGTTAAACTCGAGTTATTTTATTTTATAGGCAACGTCACTGCTACTACAGCTTGCACGTGCACTCAGTTCTTCTTCGATCATGAATGTCCTGAGTTTTTGGTGATGCGGAGGTTCTTTACCCGTAAGTGAGAACCGCTGATAGTATTGGTTACGGAGCTAATGTGCTGGTTTTATTTTTTATGCATTGATACTTGCATGTGTTTTAATTTTTGCTTGGTTTTTTATTATTATACAAGTTTTGTAGGCAGAAATGCCAAGATTTTAAATATTCCAGTGACGCAATTTATATAGTTTATGTTGCCATTTTATATCTAAACGTAAATGATTTATTTTAGTCAACCGTCCCGATGTGGGATTATATCGTACTATCGTTAGATATTTGAACGTCAACCTCATCTATCTTCGTTTTTGTTCACTCATGATAGACATAAATTATACATGATATTGATAAATATATGTGCATGCGTACAAGTATATGCATTAAAAATATTGATATATATACATATCGTAATTAATATAATGCTACTACTGTATACGTATTAAAACGTAAATACACTTGATAAATGAAAGTTATAACCATATAATGATGTCCTTAATATGATATTTATGATCAATATTATTGTTATAAATTTATTTTCAATATAAGTTTTGTATGATTATAGAGATATATGTAATATATTCCTTTTTAATTCGGATTTCGTTAAAATATGTTAAAAGTTGAATATATCTAAAATGTAAGCTTACTTTGTTTTGATCTTTCCAAAAAAGAGATTATCATTATAAAGTAGCCCTAATTACTATTTGCTTTCGAACTCAAAATAGTATAAATTGTTGCGTCGATAGAAATTACTCTTCACGGTGTCTATACAATGGCGAGGATAAACTTATTTCATGACATGTCGCGTTAAATTCTTGCAAGTATGACTGGACTCTCCGCATATAAACAAATACCAAAAAGGAAGTCCATAATTCATATAACATGTTTTATATATTATAATAATAAACTTTATATAGAGATACATAGATTCGTAATAATAATTGTTTCTTCACTCTTCTAATATCCCATGTGCCCGACAAGCTTCTTCGTATGTTGGGTAAACAATACCTCCGTGAGTCCTGACTTCTTCGTCACATGTAGGTCCTCTTAACATTCCTGCGAGCCTTTTCAAGTGACGATTGTTGTTAATCTTACGCGAAACATACATTACTCCTCCTCTGGGGGGTCCTCTTTTCCTTGGCCTAAATTGTTTTTTGGTCCTATCCCACGTGAAATGATTTGGTATTTCGTTGAATGTTAATTGTCTAGCCATCGAGTTGATTTTATTTAGATTCAACCATGCCTTGAACACTTGATCTTCGTCGTGATTATCACCCATGATTCGGTGCCTTATGATTTGATGTATAGATTTTGTTATATATATAAATATGCTATAGGTTTAGGTTAGATGTCACGCCGACGTGGTGTTATATATAGGGCTCCTTAAAATATAAAATCGATAACATTTAAATATAAAATATTTTAGATAATATTAAACTTTATATATATGGTTTCCATTGTGAATATAAATTTTATATTTTTCCATTTGGCAATTATCTATAAAATTAGTTGATCGGAATGTATATATATTCCTTTATGGTATTTTTTGATTAAATAGTTATATGTTAACATGCCTTCATTTTGATAAGTTTATATCTTATTGTATCTTTCCGATTGTCAACTACAAAAAATATAAAATATTCTTAAGGTAAGTTTAAATTTTGATCAAATATAATGTCGTTCTATTGTGGATGTAAATTTTCTGTTTTTCGTTTGGCAATGTTATAGAAAAGTTAATGGAAATATCTATTTTGTTTAATAAAAAAATATTTTATTCTATTGTTAAATGTTAATATTCCTTTGCTGTGATAAGTTCATATCTTATTGTATCTTTCCGAACAATATCTACCAAATTTAACGATGGGGATTCGTTTTGTTTTATATATATATATATATATATATATATATATATATATATATAGTTTTGCGGTTGGTTCTGTTATACTAAAGTGTTTCCTTGCCTTCAGATGGCTCGTCCCCGAAGTTCCATCTGTGTATCTGATCTAATTCCTTCTATGAATGAAAGAATGATGGGAAGATTCATAATAATTAGAAGATTTCGTTGCTCTTCACGTTTGGACACGTTGGAGCTAATACTAGCCGATGAAAAGGTACCTCGAGGTTATATATTAAAAGCATGCAAATCTATAAACGATTCTGATTCGTTACTACATGTTCTATCTGAGTTTTGATTTTTTAACCGTTCATTCGGTTGTTTCTAGGGTGACAGGATACAAGCTTCAATTGGTTTGGATTGTTTGGCTTATGATTCAAGTAGACTTGTCGAAGGAACGTGGATATTTATAAAAGATTTTGGCTTGGTCGACGCTGTTGGGTCTGTTAGGCCAACTAGGCATGCCTATAAAATTCTTTGGATTCCATCGACTTTTTTTAAGAGAACTGTGGTTACTGCTTCTGTTGACTATTTTAAGTTTGTACGTTTTGAAGATGTTCTTGCTGGTTTAGTCGATCCAAGTGTTTGTGTTGGTAAGTTTAACTCTTTTGTTTGGTATGTTCAGTAAATATTGCATGTGAACGTGATATTGTCGTCGTTTGTTTTGTGTAGATTTGATTGGTGTTCTCATGTGTGTTGGAAATTATGACGAGGATGAGGGAATGAATAGTACGTGGGAGCAGATATATTTGGAGTTAGAGAATGTTAGGTGAGTTCTAAACTTGGTTTATATATCTTGGCTGTGAGGGGATTTTGTGTAGTTGATTATAATGCTTTAAATATACCAGGGGTATTCGTATTCGCTGTCGCTTGCCGAAGGGGTATGCCACGAAATTTTTTTCTGGTCTGAAGACTTGTGCTGATAATATCATCCTGTGTGTGATGCGATTTGCTAGACTAGAGCTTTCTCGAGGTACTTATTTAAACACTAATACATTGTGTACGTGTTTATTCGTTTAGTCATGATTTGTCTATTGATATATTAGGTGATATGAGGGCTACTACTCTGTGTACCTGCACAGAACTTTTATTCAATCCTTCGTGTGATGAAGCTTCGAGGATGCGTCTTGCTTTTGCTTCCGTGGAGAGAAAACTATTTTGAACCCTTGATTTCTTATAATACTTAGTTGGTGTTTTGTTTTTTTTTTTTTTTTTTTTCTGATTCAAAGATATCTGTTATTCGACAATTGAGTTTTTTTAAAATATCACGGTTTGCATCTTATTCCTTGACTATTTAATCGATTTTATATATATGTGCTTATTGTCTAAATATCCAGTGAGCGTCAAATATACATACCAATTAATTGTTTTTATGTTGTGTCTTCGGAAAAATTTTGACATTCAAATTTACATCCGAATATTATCTTTTAGATAACGACAATATATACAAGATGCAATATTCGTGAAACGCGTATAATTTAAAAAATAGTGTATTTTTGTTTTGATCGGATTATACGGAATATATATTGACATATTTTTTTACTCATTACTTTGATATGAAATATTAATCTTCAAATCTATGGGATATTGCTATATCTTATTTTATATTATCTCCAATTTCCGACATTATTACACAAGGGAGAATATTATGGTCTAAATTATTAAAGCGAACAAAACAATGTGCCCCGTAGTGGTGGAATTGGTCTATGGGAAATTATTGTCTGATTCTTTGCAAGCTAAAAGATGCCCTGTTGGTTTGGATTTATGGTACTCGATAGGTCTTGTATTTCTATGCATGGTCAAAATCTATGCGTATCTCGATAATGTTTTTATCAGTTTTTGTGGTTTTTCCGATGCAATGCATTGTAACGATAAATAAACAATGTAATTGTGCTTGCGTTTTAATTTGAAAATATGTATTTTAAAAAAAAACGTTCTTGTCTTTATATAATTGGGAATTTTTTGGTTCATATTTGCAGCACATGAAAAAAATCTCAGTCACTAAAAAAAAAAATGGATGAGCATGTCGACGATTTAAAACCGATTAAGCTTTGTTGGTCTATCCAAGTTAAAGTTCTTAACAAATGGCGTGAGAGATCTGAAGCCGGTTATCGAGCTTTACGCATGATTTTGTGTGATAAAAGGGTAATAGCATTTGTTTAAGATTGTCGATGTTTATCGTATGTTGATGTTATGTTCTTATATACATTTGGCGTTCTGTTTTTATCATAGGGTTCTATGATTGAGGCTAAAATCAATTCCGAACTCATTACTGAGTATGATTCCGAGTTCAAAGATGGTGACTGGATATCTCTTCACCATTTTGAATTAGATTTGGTAACTGGGGATATGAGAACTACACGTCATGCTTATCGGATCAATTTTCTTCCTTCGACAATTTTGAATCTGATACCTGACAAAGACGATCTTCACTATACACTATATCCATCCTCTATCCTTGACGTTTTGGATGATAAACTCATAAGAACTTACCTGATAAGTAAGTATATATAATATTCTTTGATTTTGTTCATGTATTCTGCTTTTTAATTTTTATTTTTTTTCTCTCTTTTTACCACTAGATTTGATTGGATATGTGGTTGATATCGAAGACATAAAATACTCTGACCCAAGTAAACGAAGCGCTGGTTATGCGATGACGTCTTTCAAAATTAAGGACGCAAAGTGAGACTTAGTAATTCCACCTATATTCGTATCATTGCTACGTGTATAGACGGCCTAATGTTTACATTTGTTTGTTGTAGCAATTATGTACTGCCGTGTGTTGCTATCGGAGATCTTGCTGAGCATTTTCACGATGAGTGGAAAAGGACTAGGAGTTCGCGGGTTGTTTGTGTTTTGCGGTGGTGGGGAGTCTATAAAGTTTCCGGTTTGTATCTAATTTATGTTTTGTTTATTTATAACGGCCGTTTGTCTGTATAGCTCTCGTAAAATGTTTTAAGCTGTACAATTCTGATAATTTAATAAGCTCGATGTAACGTGTTAATAAAGGACATATGGTTATCCAATCGGTTGGTAGATGCAGCCGTTTGGATCTTGATCCTGATATGCCTGAGGTTGCTGATTTCCGAGTAAAGTAAGAAATTTGATGTTAATTTTAGGTAATTCAGCATTTGGAGTTGTTTAGGTATGGTAATTGATTTATTATTTCCGTTGTAGGTCGTCTGCTTCGACAGGCTCTTCGCGGTATAGAGCCTGAGAGGAAGTTCATGTGTTCTGGAGAAGTGCTTGAAGGGGATGAACTTTGGATCTCCTGTTTAACTTAAATGTTTGTTGTTTTTAATTTCTATCTTTGTTGTTTCTAATTTTCTAAAAACGATCGGATTTGGATAATGGAAATCTTGTATGAAAATTAGGCTTTATCACTATAGCGTCATTATTGACTCTGACTTTCTTGCTGTTCTGTTGTGTGTAGTGCAAAATTCACAAGCCAGTTTTAAAAAAAAAAAGCCTGGTTCGGAGAGTGAATATGAGATTGACTGGGGGATACCAATTCAGCGTAATTGGTAGATGTTTATCGAAACATCTTGTCATCCATCTGTGCTATTACTTGCGCTAATATAATTGTAATAATCTATGGAACTGCGAACTGGAAGGAAACTATGTGGTTTCATCTGTATGATTTACGAAATGAAATCGTACTGTTATCTTTTATATTTTGTTCTTGCTCTTTGTTGGATGTCGATCAGATAACTTTCCTCTTTGTTTTTTTTTTGGTGGGAGGTTTATTATTTTTCCTTTTTCTATTCGGTTTATTTTGCCACCAAATACGTTCGGATTGTTTAGACAAATGACAAACTGTTATTCCGTAATTGGGCTTTGGCCCATGAACGTAAAATTCAGTAAAATGTTAATTTTTCACATGTATAAAATCTATACATTATAATGCTGAGATATCAATTTTACAAATAAACCGGATATTTATCAACAATAAGTACATTAATATGTAGTGATATGGTCGTATTCTTATAGTAAACTAGCTCACATGTTGATTTCTGTACGCACATATTGATTTCCCTTTTTAGTAACTATAAAATGGTAACTACCTTAAACGGTTTTGTATATTTTCTATAATACTTTCGATTTGTCGTCGACGATATGGCAAATTATCATTTCGTTATTGGGCTCCGGCCCATGCATTTAGGGTTCTGTAAAATGTCAACTAATCACATATGTAAAAACAGATCTATATAACACCGTAGAGTTAGATTTCATCTTTCGGGATATTAGTTTATAAAATATTTAATAATCTGTAGCGATAAAGTCGTATTCCTTATTTCGTAAAAATACGAATGTTAATTCCCTTTTTTTTAGAACCCTAATATGATAACTACCTTTAACTTATTATATAGAGATAAAATCGAATAAGTTTTTAATAATATTTGTTAACATTTATTCACGGTTTGTGATATATATATGCATGTATTTCCGGGTGGAGATATCACGGAAAAAGTATATAAATACTGGCATCGTTTTCTTTTCTTTTATCATCCAAGTTATAATATATCTTCGCTCTGCTTCGAATTAGGGATTTTGTATTTTTACGGATGGAGCCGTATCCTCTTTCGAAGCTGAATCCTGATACCAGCGAGTGGCGTATTCGCGCAAAGGTTCTTGCTATTTGGCAAGAGTACTACGATCATTATTCGACGGTTGACGTCGTGTTGGTCGATGATAAGGTATAACTCATGTTCTGTGGATTATTGTTTTTAGTATAGTTTGCATGTATAAGTCGTAGTGTAATCATGTGTTGTGTATATCGTATCTCAGGGTGGGAAAATCCATGGTATCATACCTATGGAGCTTATGCCACAGTTTTCGTCGAGAATCGTTGAGAACCGATGGATAGTGATAACAGATTTTATTTTGAGACCTGTCGTGGATGCGTTGAAGCCTGTTGCTCATAGATTTGAGCTGGTATTTCATAAAAAAACATTATGCGATACTCTGCAGGAGAGATCGGGTGATGGTTTCTATGATTTCGTGGATTTTGGGAGAATCCTAAATGGGGCGCATGATACGTCCATTTGTGTTGGTATGGTTTTTATCAGTTGATTCTTTTTTTATATATAAATTAGTGTTACGCTTTTGTATTTCGACCGACGCTTTAATTCATGCAGATATCATCGGAAAGGCCATTAACGTTAGTAAAATAACCTCTTTTGGTTGTCACGTGTATGAGGATCAGGTGGAACATATAGTCTTTGATCTCCAGGATACAAGGTACATTATGCCACTTTGATACACAGAAGAAGTTGATCATTTATCGATCTGATTTATTTAAACTATATAACGCAGTGAAAGAGTTTTGAGATGTGTTTTAAGCATTACGGATGCTTTACCTCTTTATCGTTTGTGGATGACTGATCCGTCCGATGTTATCATATGTGTACTGCGATTTGTCCGTGTCGAGTTTAGGGAAGGTACGTAGCATAGAGGAAATAATTTATAAACATTGATTAATCATGGTTAACGTGTGGTTTCAATTTAATATGTAGGCATGTGGATATGCTCAGGGGTGCGCTGTTCGAAACTGCTGTTGAATCCTTCGATACCGGGTGTAAAAAAAATGAAATCAGTGTAAGTTATATATTTGTTTGAGGTTTACTCATTTGCTTAAGATGCTGATGGGCATCGCTTTTTTCCTGCTGATACATGTTTTATTCGATTGTTTGTTTGCTTTTTGTAGCTTCTCGATCAAGCACGGTCCGGTTGCGAAGAAACAGAAGATTAAAGACTGAACGTGACAATAGATCTATATTTTAGTTTATCTCCTTATAGATGTTTTTACGTTATGTTATCGTCTCGGTCTATCGGTCATACAAATTATTTTATTTTGGATATTTATCTTTAACGTTATTAAAATAAAACAGATTTAATTTATATATTGGATTACTCACGAACGAAAACTACATCGTATTAAAAAAAAAATGTATAGTGTCGCTAAAATTATACTGTGTCTGTTGTTTATTCTTGGGATATTGAGATTAGAATTGCTTTTGCAATGAACAATCTTAATGAGGTATATATATATAATCATTAAATTAATAACGATATGCGTTGTTAGCAATATTTATTTAGTTAAATTTATACCTAAATAGAAAATCCCCGGAAATCTTATCGAGTTATTTATAAAATTCA